TTTAAATCAAATGTTCTTCAGACAATGGGTGTCGTAAATCAGTTGCTATGACAACTTCCCTCCGTTACGTGAAGCTTGGACCCCAAGCTTACATGAGTCCAAATTGATATGTGTGAACTTTTTCACAAAACAAAAACAAAATCAGTTACATGAAAGTATGTAGGTATGAAAGTGATCATCTAGCCAATTTGATTTAGTGCCAGTTTGAAAACTAACCAAGTGATCTTTGTAATGTGCAATTTCACTACAAGGTATTAAAGCTTTGCACAGATTCAATAAATATATCATGGAGGTTCTTTGAATTCAGGAGTCTGGCTTGGCGGTGGGACTCAGTACCGAATAATGATAATGAGTAATGTCATAAAAAGTACAAATTAAACATCTCAGCAAATATTTCGCATAAAGAAATTTGAAACCAGGAGTCTAACTTTGCTGCGCGACTAAAACGGTACTTGTGGGTACTATTGCCCTTTTAAGTACAATGGGTGCTCTTCCCGTGTCTTTGGGGAGCTTGCCCAGATAAAACTCTGAAATGCTGAATACTGCTGTGCTGTTAATTACTTAATACTGACATACAATAAACATATATGTGGGGGTGGCTCACCCATGAATATCCCTAACTGAATTCAAAGTCCTAGACAATACATTCAATTTTGTACCAAACTGTGCACATTAATAACTTGTAACAAATGACAAATTTTGTCGTTTAGATTTTTGAAATTATGAGTCGAGCTTGAAGGTGTGACTCGATAACCCTACAGCTTAGGTTTGTCTGGGCCCTCGCTGCAACTATATGTCTGGCGTGGCCTGGAGACATTTCAAAGATTCCCTATACAATAACTTCAAAGATCTAGCTTGACTAAAGATGTAATTTGGAGTATATTGCACATGTACAAAACTGAATTTTGGAAAGACACATTTTTGGCATTAATATACTGGCTTTGATTAAACATACCTGGTTGCACTATTCAACAGTCACACAATATATATCCTTGATTGAGTCCATGTAAGTAAACACAAATTAGTAAGTCCCTACGAGATATCTTGAACGCAAGAATAGAGACAACTCGACCAGGAAATGGGGAGACGCAGAGGTGGGGTCCTGGTGTTTTTCCTTGCAAAAACTTTCAAAGGAGCGCCCATTTATTGTCGTACACATTTCTGGGAGACTGTCTATGCGCCAGTGTAATAGCTCTTGCTGCCCTAGCCAAGTAACCCTTGCCACTTAAAGCTCTTTGAAGATTGACCAGACATGTAGATGTAACCTTGTAGATCAGAAGATTCGGCCAGTCTGGGAGTTAGGGAGGGTCAGTGGCTATCTCTCCGATCGACGAACCATCCTCCCGCTGGCCACCTTCTGAAGTAGTACTGGATGCAGAAAAGCGCACGTTTTTAGTCATTGCCAGGGGATGCTGAAGGCGTCGACTGCCCAAGTCTGAGGGTCCGGAACCGGTTATATGAAGGTCCATATCTAGTAGTCCTGGCTGGTGGCAAACAGTTCTATGTTCGGATGGCTGAGGTGCAGACAAACAAGAGCGAAGGTGTCTGGGTGGAGCTTCAACTCTGAGAGTCTGCCAGGATGTTGCGACAACCTGTGATGTGTTGGACCAGGAACTGGAGTTCCAATTGATTGACCAGGTGGAAGAGTTGGAACGTTTGTTTTAAGAGCCAGTGGGAATGGGTCATTCATTGGTTTGGAGGGCACAGTGATGTTGTCCATCGACACGGTGATCCGCTGGTGCTGGAGAAATTGTTTGAAAAGTTCAAGGTTGTTGATGTGCCACTGTTGTTGCGAGGCAGACCACAGCCCAGAGATGACATGAACCTTCAAGTGCGCTCCCCATCCTTGAAAGGAGGTTTCAAGGAATAAGTGGTACGAGGTCGTAAACTCTGTCAAGGAGACCTCACCTAAGACGTTCGATTCCACTGTCCACCACCTGAGATGAAGTTTGAGGCAGTCCAGGAGGACGATGGACACCGACTGGCCTTAACCTGAAGTACGGAGCCAGGAACATCTGTACAGGGCGCAGTTGGAGTCTCCCTCTGGAGTCATCACTTGCGCTGATGTGAGGAGACTTCCGCAGACTGATTATCCATCTAAATTAGAGTAGGAGACATTATGTTAAGGCCCTGTGACGGAGGAGTGTGGCCTGGTGGTTCAGGAGGCAGTCTAGGCAGATGTGTGTAAATAGCCATGGGGCCGAGGAAATTCCAAATGGGAGCACCGCCCATTGATAGTGGACTCCCTCGAAGAGGAAGCGGAGGAGTTTCTGGTTGTCAGGATGGATGGGAACATGTAAGTATGCGTCCTGGATGTCAAGGCTGACATGTCATTGACCAAAATAAAGAAATGAGAAACAAATCAATTACAGTACCAAAAAGAATATAATCAGTTCAGAAATATACTGAACAACAGAAGTTCCTGTGACATTGAATAAGATTTAATGCAAAGTTATGCTTTTTACCAAATCTGAAACAAAAAAAGACTCCTGTAAGTGTTCAAATGGTTTAACTTGCCATACTGACTTCAGAAAATGCGTGATTTCATAAAAAACATGAACCTGCCAAAATGTCAATTTACAAATCAATAGCGTGTGTGTCCACCTCTGGTTGCGATGCAAGCAACACATTCATCTCATGGAATGGACCAGGCGTCGCACAAAGTCCTGTGGGATATCTGTCCATATCTGCTGGAGCATGTTTCGAAGTTCCTGGACTGTCTGTGGAACACGTGGTTGACATTGAAGGCGCCGATCCATCTCATCCCATATGTGCTCCCTTGGTGAGAGATCAGGGGAGCGAGCCGGCTAGGGGATGACATTCACGTTGTTTTGTTGAAGAGAATCCTGAACAAGTTGAGCAATATGAGGCCGGGCGTTGTCATGTTGAAAGGTAATGCCTGGGCCATGATGATGCAAAAACGGTAGAACAACAGGGCCGATGATCTTGTCACGGTAGTGCTGTCCATTGAGATTTCCCTCTACCACTATCAAACTGGTCCTCTGTCTTGCTGTAATCCTACCCCACACCATAACGCTGCCGCCCCCGAACCGATCTTCTTCCATGACACAATGATTCGGACCCGGTGAGCTAATAATGTGTCACCATCCTTAAAATGGTGAACACTAGACTTAAAACCTTTACCTGTAATCCTTTGCACCATATTCTAAACCTTTGAAATGTGTGTTCTGGAATATATTTTCGAAAAACATAGTTTCACTAAGATTGGCGTTCATTCTGTTTAAATGTACGACACACTTTTGAGTTTAATATTATAAATTTATTTAAGTTATGGACAGTTGGATGGTTACAGAAATATTTTTCTGACTTTTTCCTAGCTTTCCTAGCTTGTTTACAATCAGTGTTAAACCATTGTTTACGAATATGTGGATTTTTTAGGACTTTGGAAGCCATTATTTGGCAATTTCATTTAATTGGTTGGTTTGTTGTTTAACGCCGCACTCAGCAATATTCCAGCGGTCTGTAAATAATCGAATCTGGACCAGACAATCCAGTAATTATTATCATGAGCATCGATCCACACAATTGAGATCGATGACATGCATCAACCAAGTCAGCAAGCCTGACCACCTGATCCCGTTTGTTGCCTTTTACGGCAAGCATGGGTTGCTGAAAACCTTTTCTATCCCGAATCTTCACAGGTCAGAAAAAAGCTGAATAGGATCAGCTACATCACTGATTGAATGATTGTTTGTGATGTAGTGAACTAGAGGTCTCTTGTGCAGGCCTAATCTTGACTGCAGCAGACAAGGTAGGAGCAGAAGCTTTCGCCCATGTGTAAACAGTCTGGCAACCAACTGAATGGCATGAAACAGTCTTTGGAATGATAACAGGAGATGGCTTTGAAACAGAAACAGCAGCAGCGTACCTTTGGCCTGACTTGGGCCTTCTGGCAGTGGCGTCTAGGCAAATTTTGAATTTAACAAATATAGTGAAAATCAGTGTAAATGATTATTCATACAATTCAATCATAAATATAAATTTCCAAGCAGAACAGTGAGAGAGCAGAGAGCAGGAAAAGTAAGGTGCTCAGGGCTTGGCATGACCAGCCGATTGATAGGATCGGGCCTATCCTACCACCCGTCTAGGCAAAGTAAGGGTCTAGTGGTGTATGGTGTAGTGAACGCTATTCCTGGAACCAGTGCCCTCAACTAACAGACTCTCGTCCTCCACCGACAAAGGGACGCAACCCATGGCAAACGGGTTGCCCAATTGGGTCGCCTTTTACGACCAGCAATGGGGTGCTAAGGACACATTCTTATCTACCCAGGTCCCCACAGGGGGAACGGTTTTCGAGTTATGCTCTGGAAATGAAATGATTACAGACAGGTGGACATGCGGATGCACATATGGACAGACGAGGCGTAGACTATATCCCCCGCATTATATGCCAGGGGGATAAAAAGTAAATCACTATAATGACGTGTAGTACAAGCTACTACCAGGATATGAGGTCATATCAAATGCTCATGCATTCATCACTGGTGTGTATGGTCCAGACTCAATTACTATCAGGTCATCATGGTAAAACAACATTCACTTTGTTCACTCTCAACAGACAATGTTTACACAAGGACAAGCGGGATCAGTTTAGTCAATGGCAGATTGACCAATTTTTCCTGTATATCGTTTATTGTTTATCAAAGGTCAATATACCCTTGAAGATCCGGGTTAAAATTGGTCGTCAGCAACCCATGTTTGTCTTAGAGGTGACTAATGGGATCAGGGGGTCAGGCTGGCTGACTTGATTGATGCATGTCATTGTATCCCAATTGAGTAGATCGATGCTCATGATGTCAATCACTGGATGATCTGGTCAAAACACTTTTTTTACAGATCCTTGTCATATAACAGGAATATTGCTGAGTGCTACATTAACAACAACCAAAGGTCAACACAGGGCTCACAGGAATGAATATGCCGACATCCAACTTTTAAAGAGTATGGGCTGCAAGATAGGATCAATGCACACACAATACCTGAGATTTTCAGTGATGACTCTCCTTTATCAATGGGTGAAGACAATCCATCAGCTAATGACTCAAGAACAACTTTTACAGCTCCAACTCGGGGTAATGTGATGTGATTCCAAACAGGATAGTTGTTTTTCTCTGCATACCTGTGAAGTAGAAAATGCTTTTAGGGCCAGAACATTTTTTCTTCATATTTTACAGATGTTCGGAGCCTATACATACCAGACTCAGAAGACTCTGTAGCTCTCTTAATTTTTTTTATTTTTTAGGGGGGGGGGTGGGGACATCATATCAGAGTAACAGTATCTGTATTTAACTTATATCATGGTATGTCTGTCAAATGTGAGAGGAATGGTGCTGAGAAAAAAACAAGAATCATTATCAGGGCAAATCCGTGATTCACATAAAAGAAAATATGTTTGTGGCATGCCCAACACTCTGCACAGGGAATTACTGCACCTTAGAAGACTGGGTCACAGGTGGGTTTTTTAAATACCAAAGCAACCATATTAAAAATAAGATTTGAACCTCTTAAACAAATTAAGGTCACATGATGAGTGGGGGAACAAGGATGTCAAGTTTCAGCTTTATTGGTCCAGTGGTTTCGATGGAGAGGACAGAGAAAGACTGTGTTTTTAGAGACTTCAAAAGCATAGTCAAAATGTAAAGGTAAACTTTGTAAACTTGCAAAATACAAAATAAAAGTGTTCAATCTCACTACAAACTACACATATGTGAAATTTCATTTCATTTTGAACAAACCTTGAGCAACAAGGCTCTGAAGCACACCTGAATTATGAGTGTGTGTGTTTAAATTCAACCTGCAGTCACCCGTAATGATCCGAGTTAGATTTTGTCTTCAGAAATCCATGTTTGCTTTAAAAAGGCGACTATGCATGCCTTAAGAGGCAACTAACGGCATCAGGTGGTCAGGTTTGCTGACGTAGTTGATGCATGTCAGCGTATCCCAATTGTGAAGATCGATGCTTATGTCAATCACTGGATTGTCTGGTCTTGACTAATTATTTACAGACAACCATCATATAGATGGAATATTTCTGAGTGCGACGTTAAGCAACAAACAAACAAACAAAACATTGGAGACTGTCTATATCAGACTCTGTCAAATTCAGATTTTGGTGAAAATTTGATTTTATCTCTAGTCCCTTCAGTTCCTTAATAAATTATCATTACTCAAACAGACCTACAACTCTCTAATTGGGACTTTTTACACTTCATACTTTGGACTAAAATTACGACCCCAACAACCAATTTACTATTGAAGAGTGTCTGAACCGGGCTTGACCAGATCAGACAGGACTGAATATTCTCTCACTTTGAAGTAAACTCAGTCAATGTCAGCTAAAACAACAAAGGTAACTTGTACTTCAGGGACCTTTCACGTTGTCTAAGTGGAACTTGCACGCTGGAACTTGACACGATACATTCCCTGTATCTTTCTATAATTGGTTAAGAGGAAAAAAGGAAAAAAGCAATTAAGTTGATTCACTTGTAATAAACCGGGAACTGACTTTATTCAGGAATACCAGTCATTGCATGAAGGTCAGGGTCTTGCCAAGGGATTTGTACACAAAGTGAAAAAGAAGTCAGACCTTGACAACGGAAGTTATGTTGTCCAAAGTGTCCAAAGAATTATCTCTGAAGGATGGTATAATTGAGAAAGTTGCTGCTTCAAAATGGGTGTCTAATTATTGTTGCCTGATCTGAGAAGCCACATAAGACATTGTCAATGACGAATTTCCTCTCCCTCACACAGAAGAGGTCTTCCAAAAGATGCACGGTAAAAAGGATTCCTCTAAATAGGACATAAAATCTGCATACTGCAAGAATGTGGAACTGATGATCTGGCAGAAGACAGTATAGATTTGACAACATTCATGAACCTTAATGAATCTCATCGCTTTAAACAAGTATGCTTTATTCTTGCATCAGCCCCATTCAGCATTCATTCAGCCACAAGTTTCTGAAACACACAGTAACTGAAAGATTTGGGTTGTTTCAGATTGAGATCTGAGCTCATGGGGAAGGGAAGTAACTCCTAAGTTGGAACTGCAGGTCGATGTGAGTGATGTGCTTTGCTGTGGTGAAGTTTGAATATTGAAGGTATTTTGCGGTTAGAAATTTATTATGTATGATCATATGAAGTGAATAACACATTCATCTGTCCAGCAATTAAGTAATATGAACCTAACATTGCCAAATTCAGCAATATATGTGCAGTTATATCTAAGGTGTGAAAACATACGGGTTAGTCTGAAATGGTGTTACATATTAGCCATTAATTTGTGAGAAGCACTTTAGTTCACTGTGGGTCAAATTACATTATTAACAGAGGTAATTAAATTCAAGATAAAGTTTCAGTAACTTTAATATTTATTATATTTTATTATCTAGACATAATGGAAACGTTTTATTTGTTTTAGCTTTGAACTGACTAGATCTATCCACAACATAGGTCTATCCACCACACACAGTGATGTATGAAGTGAGAGAAAGTAAAGTTGAGTGAGAAAGCAATACTCTTTTGTTATTAATATACACACCTAAAAGGGACAGCACGTCAACGGTTCTGTGTATTTTTAAATCATGCATGAAATAATTCTGATTCTGATGTCACATGCCCGAATAAAATCTCAAAACAAAACAATATAGATCTCCGCACAGTGAAGTCAACAACACAAGCACAGCACAGTATTTTTTTTACGGAAGAGTTACAAAATACTAATTGCCCGTTTGATTAGATAAGAAAGAAACCAGTGTTAATCAAAGCATAGATTACACTATATATATGCCTCGGTATGAAGCCAATCACACTCCTACCCAGAGTTCCTTACGGTGAGCAAAGTTCCTCTGTCACATCGTCACATCTTACACAGTCCATTCATGTGTTTTTCATGTTTCATTTGGGACAAGTCTACACATTTAGATAAACATGTCATGAAATGCTTTACTTTCAATTAGAAACTATCGTAAAATATGAAAAACTAATTCCATCTGCGTATCTATCCTCCAAATCCAGTCATCGAAGCTCTTCAGAAGGCTAGCACAGTCACTTTGATATGTAAAGCTATATTGTCATGCACCTTACTGTAACAGTGGCAGTAGTATATCCATAGAATAATGCAAAACAATATGTAAAGTGCATCAGAATAAGTGCTTTTGTTTACAAACAAGAGGAAATTCCAGTCAAATGATCAGCCTACAACTGCGACGTTGTCACTGGAGCAAAAACCAGAAAAAGGCGAGCAGAGCAAACTAGGGAGTTATCGGCAACTGTTTACAAAGCTTCAGAACGGTAGACGTCCTGTCCCTTTAATCATTCCAGAATATGATGTCCATTATCCTCAAGGATTTGAAAGGTGTTGAATGTAAGATGGAAGATATGATTATCAATGGTAATTCAGAAAGATCACAAAGAGAATCTGGTCAGAGTTCTTGAACGCCTCCAGAATTCTGGACTAAAACTAAAAATACAAGTGTGAATTCATGATCCCAAATCCAAGTACTTGTTCATATCAAAGTACTTCAGGCGTCACACCAGATCCATTCCCACAAACTCTGCTGGTGACCAGGAAAAGATAGTCAAGAGGAGGAGATGCTAGTTAAACTGTGAAATCAATAGTTAGCATTGTGTTTAATTCCAAGCATACTACCTCTGTAATATCATAGTCATAATTTATGTTTTGGCTGTTATCACACTACAAAAATCTTTCTCAACAGGCATCTGATTCACTATCAGTTATCAAATGCCAATTATTATTGACTTTGTGTGACTGACAACACATATGCTTGTGGTCTTGTTGAGTTTGTTGATCTCAATGTCAACAATCAACAATGAGAAACAATCCACAACAAGGAGGTGTTTTATGGTCTTCAATACAAACAGATCCATCCCAACCTATTGCCAGGGTCGATTGAGCAATTCCATGGACATAAGTGGTTGTGGAGCATTCATTCTCTCTTTTATGCACTCTGTACAGTTGTTTACGACTTATTTTAGTTGTTTTCGAAGGTCCTGGTAACCACACATCATTTCGCTCATTCTCTACATTTAACAAATCCTTGATGTCCAGGATGTAAGACCACAAGCATTTGTAGCCTCATAGACATATATATTACGAGCCTGCTTCCCCTCAGCAATAGAACGCTTTCTATACTGAGCCTGTCTCAACATGGAAGATAAGCTTAAAGAGCTCCTGGAATGTTTGATCCATCTGGCAAACTTTCATGACAGAATTTCATTAGTTCTCTGCATACTTCAACGTCATCTTGCTCAACTGAGTTCGGATTTCTTCAGTGTCACTCTGAAGCAGGCATATTGTTGATGACACTGTTCTGGCTGTGAGGGAGACCTTGAGAGGGGTTGCTAATAATAAGGTATCCACCAATACTAAGTGTTTCCCTGGTACAAACTGAATTATCTATGTATTTCTAGGGTAAAACATCCAAATCCTTGGTACCCAACAAGGAGGCAAATAGACGCTTATGATCTGTTTCAACTGTGAATGTAAGGCCCATCAAATAATTGGAGCATTTCTCAAAAGCCCAGGTTGTAGCAAGGACTTCCTTTCTAACTTGGGCGTACTTCTGTTTGGTTGATGTCAGTGACCTTGACGCATGTGCGGTTGATCTCCAGTAATTTCCATGCTGCTGTATAAGAACTGCTCCCTCTGCTGAAACTTTGGTAGGCTTCGAAAAATTGTTGGGCCAAGTACCTTGGCTGAACTAATTTGTCTCTTGATATCCTTTAAGACATCTTGTTGAGGCCTGTCCCACTACCATGTTAAGTCTGATTTGAGTAAGTCTCTGATAGGTTTCTATCTTCTCTGAGTCTGGTCGTATTCCTGTGGTATCAATAATAAACCAAAGAAACTTTATGCATCTCTGCTCATACGTACACTTGTTCCAGTTCAAGGTTACTCCAGCAGCTGCTACTAAGTCTGGTAATATTTTTAACCTAGAGTCTTGTTCTTCCTGTGTTTCACCAGACACAAGTATGTCATCCATTAGACCGGGTATTCCTGGTATTCCAACAAGTATCTGCATCATTTGTCTCTGAAAAACTTCTGATGCTGAAGATATGCCGAAGGGATCTGTTGAAACATCCAACATTAGTTATCATTGC